TAGCAACAACTAAAACATTGGTGTGTTATCAACACTATTCTCATCCTAAATCCAAAACACAGCACTGTACCAGCTACTAGGAAGAAAATTAACTCTATCCCAGCCGAAACCAGGACATCACCTGGTTGATGAGCAGGTGACATCAGCAGCATGAGCTGTGGTTCTGTGTTACCACTTACAGTGTGAAAACATTTCAGTGAGATGATTGCCTAATTGGCAATATCCAACTGAGATAGAGTAAGGACAGAACATAATGTACAGATGAATGCTTAACAACAGTTAGTACCAGGAGTGTAGCAAATACTAGTTTTTAGTGGAATTTGTAGTTTGTTTTGAAATAATGGATAGATAATCTTGGTGAAAAGGAATATAGAAGTTGTTTTAAATGAAGACAACAGAACTTTGAATCGCTGTTTTTGCAGATTACAGGATGATATATAGTTGATAATGTAATATAAATTCCTATTCTTAGTTTTAATTGCAGGGTGTTATATAGAGAATTACTGCTCTCAAATAAGGCTTAAAAAAATCTGAATACTTTCATACTGTATTTGCTCATGTAATTTTACTACTGTACTATATGGTATATTTTTAAAAATTTGTGTGAAATATTTCTAACGTATGCAAATATGTCCCTAGTAGCAGTTATTTTTTAGTTAAAGTACTTCTAGTGTAGAATTGATAGACCTTCTTTACACTCCAAATCAGAATTCAGTAATTTTTTTACTGTTCAAGAAACACTTAACTATAAAAGTCCTTTTCTAAAAGGAAAAGGGCTTTATTAGTGTATGGTGGTTTAAGACTACTTGTAAAATATCAGATGGATGTTAATTGCACTTTACTCATTATAAATTGAAGTGTAGTATGTGATGCAGTTGGCACTTGGCTAGAAAATAATCTGTTTACTAATAATCAAAGAACATGTAATGACAACTCTTACGTAGAAAGAAACATGTCTAGCAATGTGGAGTTTTTCATGTGACTTCAGCATTATTACTCCTTGGAGATCAAAAATTTCTTGACAAGCTAGTATTTTCTGTACATTCACAATAATTTTTACTTAATCCTTTGCTTTGTATTCCACTACAGTACCAAGCATTTTTTTTTTCAGTGCCATTGTTTATCTCTTTGCAGCACCCCTGTACTCACTGGAAATAGCTAGGTTTTTTAGTGATTAAAAGTTAGATCAGAGGAGATTGTTTTTGATAAAGTTAAGAAATAAAGTATGGGTATAATTCTGCTTTTAAGACATTGATTGTATGCACTATCATGTTTTGAAGTACTTAATACTATTTTTTAAAAAGTCACAGCAGTAATATTGGAACTATTGACTGTGCTGTAAGGGTGACTTGGCCACTTAGGTTCCCATAAACATCATAACCTAACAGGGCAGGTTTTGCATTAAATTAGAACTCACATTTATTAATGAGTTCTGGGTTTAGTTTCTTTGTACTGGGACTTCTCTTGTGTTTTTTTTAAGAGATGATAGCAATGGATGTTCCCAGAGGTACTCAACAAAATTAATGAATTCTTAATTTTGAAGATTAAGAAAGATTAGAATTCACTTGAAATGTAAAAAAAATGAGCGAGTGTAATTCAGTTTGTCAAAATAGCTGTTTCATCTACAAGAAGTATGTTTTGACCAAACTTAGATGGATTGTGCCCCTCTTGGAGTCATTCCTTCCTCTCGGCTAAATTAATGTTTACAACTCTTTGAGAAGGTAGTGCTACTGCCATAATGATAAATGATGTACTAATGACACTTCAGACATATTTACATGCTTGAATGTGTTTGAATGCTTTCAATGTGCTGAACACTAAGGATCTGTTTTCCTTTTTTTTCTAGCAAGACCTCATGACTTCTTTGATGCGCAAACACTGGATGCTATAAGACATCGAGCCATCTGCTTTAACCTCTCAGCACATATAGAAAGTTTAGGAAAAGGCCACAGTGTTGTATTTCATAGTACTGTAAGTATATATGTTATGCATTCTGTTTTGTTTATGTGTCTGAAAAATCTAACGCTTCAGAAGATTTCTGTTTTCTTCTTACTGCTGTAGGCATTTAATCAGAAATAAGTAATAGTGGCTATTTTACGTGGTTGATTTGTCCATTTCTATTAGTAAATTAACTTTTTAAAAGTAGTGTTAGTAGTTGTTCTAGCTCACAAATTGAATAGCTTGCTACATTTCCTGTCTGATAGACTTGAGGAAGTATCTAACAGCAAGTATGTGTTGCAGAAAAATTTGGTATATCTTCTAACTAAGAATGGAATTCAGATGGCATTTCCATAGTCGTGAGTGACAGTGCTAATTTATCACAAGGAATATTTGGAGAGTAATTGTATAATTGAATATTTAAAGATGCTGATCTGAAAATTGTGTTTATTCCTTTTTTCAGTTTAAAGAATATAATCCTGAATAAATGTATTGTCCCCCTTTTTTTCTTTTAATAAACTTACCACCAAAATGGCAGTGAATTGCTAGAGGAAGGCAAGTACCAGGTGGGGAGCTGGCCTTTAGTTCTGTTTCCATATCCTATTTTGTTAATTTCACTTGTTTGTGGATGGGATAGACATCAGTATTAATTTAGAAAAGTTCAAAATGGGGAAGGAAGTACTGAATCGGGCTATAGGGATCAGAAGTTCAAAAAGCTATATAACCTCGGGTTTTCTTAACCAAATTGGGAGATATGGGCGCATAAAAGATAGAGACTCAACTGAAGGAAAGAATTAAGAGATGGGACAAAATGAGGGGAGGTGCTTTGTAAATTGGCAGATTAGTGCAAGATGAACTGCAGTCCAAGGAAGGAATGCTGACTGCTGTGTCTTCAGCTATGGCTTAACCTTAACACATGATTCAAACTATTGAACTGTCAGTCTGTTTCCATAAATAAAAGATGATTTTATATGCATGAAACTTACTTTTTCCTGTTCAACAAGACTGATGATTGTTATAAATATCTGTAGCCTGTATTAGACATTTTTCCCAAATGGTTACTCCTGAAATTTATGTGCGTTGAGTACCAGCTGCAAGTGGAGATTTGCAGGTGGCTTAGCTGTTACTGTATTTAAATCTCATTCTAGTTTTCCTGGCCAACTTGGATTTTACAATGCTGTGAGAAAAGCAGATTCTCTTCCAATTTACAGCTTGCTTTAATCTGAAACGTTATCCAGACAGACTACTTGGTTGTGGAAGCTCAGCTCTGGCTATTGGAATAATTCATAAGGAGGTGGAATTAGAAGGAGGGATGTGCTCTAAAACTGCTTTGAATTAACTTGGAGGAAGTGGTGAAAATCCTTTTAGCTTATCTGTGCATGTGTCACTTGAGATGGTAGGGGGTTGATTAGATCTGAAATTGCTTAGACCTCAGTTGTGGGAGAGGTTGTGCCAGTGGGAGAACTGTTCTAAGATTCCAGCCCTATGCTGAACTTTGCTACCCTGTTTTAGTGTGCTGCTGCAGTTGTGTGGGCTTGTGCTGGACATCAGCTATATTGATGAGAGACAGCCTAAAATCTGTTTTAAAGAGAAAGGGTAGAATAGAAGCAGTCTTGTGGAAGTACACTGTTACACTGAGCTAATGGTCATCTCAGATGCAAGCACATTTTGCATAACTTATAAGCATTAGGACATTGAATTTGAATGGTGACTGGCTAAATAGCATAATATAGTTTGTATGGTCCACCTTCAGATGAAGGAAAAAATGTGTAATTATCAGGGGCATTAATTAGAAAGGTGAAAAATTATGAAGATAAAATTGTCTTGCTGTCTGAAAACTGACATAAATGATGTAGGTTTATTTTTTTTATGCAGCATAAGAATAATGTCAGCACAATGCAGTATTTTATAGGACAGATATCCTAGTGAAAGTTACTAATGTGAAGAATTTCTAAGCAGTCACTGTAGATACCTTTCATCTCCTATGAAAAGGCACTCCTTTTTTAATATTTTTTTTTTAAACCCCATCTTTATAGATATGGAAAGCTGTAGAATGCAGTCATCAATAAAGCCTTTTTGAAGAAATGTTTTTGCCATCCAGAGTTCACCTTTGACTTCATTATGATTTTTTTTTTTTTCCTGCTTAGTTGGGTTTTTTGGAATCAATTCTTGGTCCTTCCAGTCTCTGAATTGTCAGATGGAAAAGTCAAGCATTTCCATTTAACCTAAAGAGCAGATATTACACTGATTTAAAAAATGCAGCTTATAGGTTACCCTGTCCTCCACTCCCCCCCGCCCCAGCTTTTTGAAATGGCTAGAATTAATTCTCTGAAATATTTGAATACTAAACTTTTTTCACTGTTCTTAGCTTTTCTAGATATTTTAGTTCAGCAGTCACGTATTGATACTAGTTACATGTGTTTTGAAATCTTAAAACTTTGAAACACAGTAAGTGAATTAAGATGCATACCAATTTATAGGGTGAAATTTTTTTCTTTTTCCAGAAGAGGTCAGCAGAACTCCATTTCTGATTTGAGACAACTTTGATGCACATTTCCTTCAGAGATAAATTCAAATTAAATTTCCCTTTTGTTTCTGGGACAGTGCATGAAATTTAGAGAATATAGTAAAAGTTTTTCTCAAATAAAGCTGTATTGAGCATACATCTACTGGCTGAATTATATTTTTTAAATGAAAAACTTAAATGGACTTAAGTTCTTTACAAAATTATTTTAAGTCTTCAGAGCATCATTATTGCAGACATGCTAGATTTCTTCCATTTCAGTTGTAACTTTTGCAGACTTGACCCTAAAGCTCTGATTTACTAGTGTCAAAATAGCAAATCATTTTTTTTCAATTGCTTTCTTGCAAAATTTTTGCAATTTTGCATTTGTCTGCATTATAGCTGTGTTTCTGACTCTAGCCTGCCTAGGATATGGTAAAATTTTCATTGCACTAATTATTAAAAGTATCCACTTTTATCACACCTTTTATAAAAATTTCTTTAAATTTGACAATTTCAAAATATATGTGGGAAAAAGCAATGGCAGCTATAGATGCCAGATTTCTGTTGTCTCCTAACAGAAGCCTAACGTACTACTTTAATGTTAAACAAAAATGGGTTTGTTCCCTATGTGGAGAGAGGATCTTTCATCCCAGTCAAAAACAAGTGAATTGCTCAGATTTTGAGTATTGATTATTTAGTAGGGATAAGATAAGCCAATGATATGGGGAAAAAGTCTGCAAAATTCACATTGGATACAAGTATATCTCTCTGTGCGAAAGCATCCTAGCTATAACTTTCATAGCTTTCATGTATTATATATGATTAGCTCTTTTGTTATGAAAGAATTTTTTTTTATTTTCTACCGCTAAAAGTTACTTTCTTCTCCTCTTAAACTTCTCTGTGTGTGAAAGCTGGTTCAAGCCCTTAGTTTAGCACTGATTGCTTGAAGATGTTACTAGGTCTCTAGAATAAAAGAATGGTACTTGCAGTGGTGTAATTCAGGCAGTACTTGAATTGCCCTAAACTTTGTACCCTGAATATCTTTTACACATCGGTGTTGCACTTTTTTTTTTACAAATATCTCTTTTCAGTGTGGTGATGATAAGACAACAGAGTCCTAAATTTTGTACTGCGTATTACTGAAAACAAGAAATTGTTAGCGTTTGTCTGTACTTTTTTTTTTTCCTGTTGGAGAATGCAGGTGATGATATTGGGTGGTTCTCGCAGAGATCTATGAGGTTCTGGAATCACCATGTGTTATACTGTAAATCCCTGTAGAAGCAGTGCTATTGATCATTTGATAGAGGAACAGCAACCCCAACTTTAACTAGTACTTAGATGTAATATGCATCTGTGACTGGTGTATTCTGTATGGTTTCCTAGTTCATATTCTTCAAGTTTTAGCTAGGATGAAGAGCAGTTTATGGAGAATAACTTCTTTCTAACTTGGGTGTAGCTAGTTTATGTCCAAATGCTAACATTTTAAAATGTCACCTGTAAACTTTTCAGTATGTGATATCCATGATGCTTGCATTACATGAGAGAACATACGTGTCTCCTTAAAACTTGAAGGTTAATTTGAGAATGAACTGGACTGTACAAGAAAATGTATGGTTTTGAATGGGAAAGCTGATGAGAACTGAGTTTTATTTGCCCTGTAAAGTGAGCTTTGACTTACCTTTATTTGGTTTCAGGCTCAGGTGCTCCAGTCTGCAGCAAATAAACTGAGTTTGCAGAAGCAGCAGCTGGGTTCTGGCCAAAGGCTAAAACTTAAATTTGGAAGGGATTGGAGGAGTGCTTTCTAAATCTTTATTTAAAAAGAAGTCCGGGTTTTCATCCCTGCTCCAAATTTAGCAAAAGGATGTAGTATCCTGTTGTGGGTATGGCTTGAGACTTCTGAGAAAAAGTCTTAGCAATGTTTCATGTGCCTAAATTAAAGAACCTTATAGTATTCTTTGATACAAGAGTCAATTAAACTTTGTCTAATTGGCAAAAATTACTAGAAAAAGGATTTTTACTGTCATTTATCTACAGTATCCCACTATGACATCCTATTGCAGTTCTTGCAGGGAGCATTCCTTCAATTTATCTTGAATTGCCTGATATCAAAAAGCAGATTTTCTCTCTCTGCCTTCTAATTCCATTTCCAGATGAATTGTGAATACATATTTGTTGTGGTTTAACCCGGCAGGCGGCTAAACACCACCAGTGGGATGGGGGAGAGAATCGGGGAAAAAAAACAGAGTAAAATTTCATGGGTTGAGATAAAGACAGTTTAATAGGACAGAAAAGGAAGGGAAAATAATAATAATAATGATGATAATAAAAGAATATACAAAATAAGTGATGCACAATGCAGTTGCTCACCACCTGCCAACCGATGTGGTCACTGCCCCCTGGCCAACTTCCCCCAGCTTATATACTGAGCATGACATCATATGGTATGGAATATCCCTTTGCCCAGTTGGGGTCAGCTGTCCCGGCTGTGCCCCCTCCCAGCTTCTTGCTGGCAGGGCACGAGAAGCTGAAAAGTCCTTGACTACTGTAAGCACTGCTCAGCAATAACAAAAACATCCCTGTATTATCAACAACACTGTTTTCAGGACAAATCCAAAACACAGCACTGTACCAGCTACTAGGAAGAAAATTAACTCTATCCCAGCCAAAACCAGCACAGTATTAAATGAGAGATCCTAAACCTGGGGCTTACTAATTGGAACCTTTTCCTTTTGGAAGACCTGTGCCTTACTGTACTTCATTTATTGCTTCTCTAACCTTAGGTCATTGGATGGCCTTTTCCACATCTCATGACAACTTGGTTTAAAACCTTTTAGTGTAAGACTTCAGTATTTTTTAGAAACTCAGTATCTCAAACACTGTGGTGGGTTGACCTTGGCTGGATGCCAGGTGCCCACCAAGCTGCTCTATCACTCCCCTCCTCAGCTGGACAGGGGAGAGTATATAACGAAAGGCTTGTGGGTCGAGATAAGGACAGGGAGTGATCACTCGCCAATTACTGTCACGGGCAAAACAGACTTGACTTGGAAAAAATTAATTTAATTTATACCGTACTCTGATTTGATTGGCAAATGAGAAATAAAACCAAATCTTAAAAACACCTTCCCCTCACCCTTCCCTTCTTTCAGTGCATGAAATTTAGAGAATATAGTAAAAGTTTTTCTCAAATAAAGCTGTATTGAGCATACATCTACTGGCTGAATTATATTTTTTAAATGAAAAACTTAAATGGACTTAAGTTCTTTACAAAATTATTTCAAGTCTTCAGAGCTCCAAACCTCACACAGAGGAAGCTTCTGGCATCTTCTCACAGGAGCCACCCCTGTAGCCCCTCTGCTACCAAAACCTTGCTACGCAAACCCAATATTCCAGTTTTCATCTAGAAGCATATTGATACCTTCAGATATCTCAAATATATCTGTAATAATAATCTGGCTGTTAAATCCATGGACACTTCTCTCTGCATCATTTTTGTTTAGATGATCACTTGCATAGCTGTAAAAATAAAATGTTAAACAAATTTGTGAATTCCTTGAAATGTCATGACTAAGTTTAATTTACCATGGTATTCAGTTGTGGGAAATCGCTTTGGTTGATGCAGATTATGGACTTCAGTATTTGAGTTCCATATGCTACATTTTAGTTTAGCCTGTTTCATAAAGATCACTTGCCACCCTTCTGTATTTCTGTGCTTTAAAGGTTCTTTAGTAAACTTTTTGGAGTTTACAGTATCTGCAGTGGCTATGTATAGAATCTTTCAAAGATTTAATAAGCGTTTTATGCTCAGAGGTGCAGAAGGTGGGAGAATTGGTGTTTGAAGCAAATAGGAAAATCTGTATGAAGTATTGTGACATGTAGTAAAGGAGAAGCTGAGGGTAAATCAGCAGAAGAGGAAGCAAACAGCTTTTCCCTGTTTTTCTGTATACTGTAAACTTTTGTGATACCTTTTGAATGGCAGTGTTAAAGAATATATTTGTACCTGAATGAACAGATTTCTCTCTTACGCTTTCTGTGTGTGTATTTCTAACTTTATCTTGGCTAACGGTGGGAGTCTAACTTCAGGGTCCTGCACCTAAAAACTTTATTCTCTGTGAGAGTATCTTATGTGCTGGTCTATTCTGAACTAGTTTGAGAAACTATGAGAAAGGAGTTCTCGCTTCTTGTCTGGGACCTTACCAGTGGAGTACATACGTTCTGCTTAATCTCTATCAATTGTTGACAGGTCTTTGAGATGTCGTTTGATTTGTCATTCATATAACAATAGTAGCAAGTGTACTTTCTACAGTGTTAAGGGTCCCCATTATGTATGCATTAAACAATCTCTGTAAGCCTGTGAGTTCATCCAAGGAAGAACTTTGCCATTGCCCCATTCAGTGCTTGGTTTAGGTATTGAAAAGGAATAGGTAAAGATTACCTAGGAAGTGTTATGCATACGATGTGTCCAGATGTCAAAGCATTTGTGAGAGAAGATTGTATTTTTACGCCATGCTATAATTAAACTATAAACTGCATCAGTTTCTCGCATCTTCTGTAGATGTCTTGTGGAACAACATGAGCATATTTGTAGAGGAATGTATGTTCTCCAAAGCTTTTGGAGTAGCTGCTTAAAAACTTGAACTATTTTAAAAGAAAGACAACTACTTGCAGGATGCTTTTTTCTTTTTTCTTTTTTTTTTTTTTTTCAGGGACCACTCAGTAGACAAATGTTAAAGGAAAATATTAAACCTTGCCAAGAATGGCTTGAGTAGTGATATGTACATTCTACCTGTATGTAGAATTAATACAACTTTCAAAGAGTAAACCAGTTTGCCTTTTATGAATGTCCAGTTGAACATGAAGAACAACAGGTTTTTTGAGCAAAAAATCTGCAGATTTGGTTTTAATTATGATTTATGTAATTATTAGCAGGTAATAGCTAAAAGAAAAGAAGATTCTGGAAAAATAAAACTCTTGCTTCATTGGACACCAGAGGACATGTGAGTATATTGCTAGTGATATGTTACAGGATTTAAATGGGGAAGGATTTACAATGGGGTAAATGAACTGTCTGTCATTAAATTATGTTGTGCCTTTTAAAATTTAAATTAAAGTTCATGTTTTAAAAAATGCTTCTTAAAAAGTAATTTAGAAGTTTAAAAGAAATAATAAGCATTGCTTTAATTGATTTTTACTTTGGCTTCCAAGTATTTAGACTCTGATACCAGTTTAGGTAAACTTGAAGCTATATTTTTGATGCATTTTTGTCACCATGGGTATTAATAACAAAGTCCTCTAATTACTGAATGGGGAGTTCAGGTTGATTTTGCCAGCCATATATATAAGGAAATTTATCACTGAGACAACTTTGCCTTACCCACTGATTCATCGTGATCCTAAAATACTTTTAGGTACTGAAAAATGTACAATCATCAGTGTAACAGTAGGACTACAAGAATCTTTGCCTAGGTGCCACAATTTAACAGTATAATAACCACAGTTGGCCCTTTAAGGTATCTATCTCATATTGCTGCTGCTTTGGATTCTCCCACTGAAGCTTGGAATAATCTTCCAGCATGTTTGGCTGCTTTTTTATCTTGGTTTTTCAAAGTTCTATCTTGTTCCAAATGAGTAGCCTTGTGTGTAATGCAGGATGAAGGTACTGCTCTCGGGTAGGCTTGGGACATATGAAGTAGTAAGTGTACTTCAGAAATAATTTATCTACTTCTTTGAAATAGCTGAGATCTCATCTCTTTCTTCTGACACAGAAAAGAATTTATATGTAACTTTTATTCTACTTTTCCATATAATTAAGATAAAATGTTTGGTTTCCACTGTGCTGTAGGAGAGCAGTAGGCAGTGTAGTTTTAGGAGAGGCAGTAGCTGTATGCTCCATGTTTTCCACAAGTTTTAAGGCGATTAACTACTTTTCCTTTTAAAGGTAAGAATAATTATAATAGCATTTATCTCTTGGATTCATAGTCCTGCATACTGATTCCTGGATCCATAGTCCTGCATACAGATGAAGTTACTGGGATGTTTAGTACACATTAAGATGGAAGTTACTGAGACATTTAGTTCACACTAAGATGAATAGCTGCATAATTAGGTAGGACATGCAGGTTTAGAGGCTCGCTCGTAAAAGGAATTTCAGTTTTACCAGGAAGATATCTCTAAATTGGTAGAATTCATTAGGTAAGGATATCTAAGTTTCAGATGAAATAGTCATAGTTCATGCAATTAACTTTTAGAATAATGGGGTCTCTTGGATTCAGTGGTGCTTTTAAGTGATTGAGTGGGATGGTGATGCAAAGCCTTAGCATAACAGAAATTTACCTTTTGCTTTGAAGTGGTTTAAATTACTCAGTTTTGTAGTGCCCCAGTTAGTCATGCGCAGCAGTGCGAACTTGGCAGTGTGAATCTCTTATAACTTTTATTCTCAGAGGACTAGGGTTGCTGATAAGTTATCTGCAGCAATGTTTGGCATTTTGGTGCTATTTTGAAGTGTCTGTAGCTTTTGCTGCTCATTGCAGCACTTGTAGACTGCAAGTTTCAGTTCAACTTGGGAGAGAATAACTAAAATATTCTAGTAAAAAGTGTAGTTTTTTGCTTCCTTTTAGGACAGCTGGTAATACTATATGTAACAACATTCTGAAATTATTTTTATTAAAATATGAGTGTTTTGCTCATGCAGATGAATACAATATTAGAATCTCTTCATTGGAGAAGACAAGTTATTCAGTAATGTTAAGACATCCCCGATAGAATGGAGATTTGATTGGTCAGGTCAAAGGAATAAGGTGTTTTATATTGATATTTCTTGCACCTTGGTTGGGTTAGGTAAAGGGTATATTTCCTGCACTGAATGATGTAGTTTTGAGTTATTGAGTATTCGGTAGATTCAATTTAATCTTGATTATTACAGTTAAGAACAGCAAATGCAAGGTATCGTGGCTCATGTCATCCGTCTGTCTTACACAGTGCATGTACTCACACTTCAGAGAAGTTGAATGCAGTCATGATGATTACTTTCCATTGTGCTGAGCTGTTCATCAGCCTTTCAGATGGAGCTAGTAATAATGATTTAACTTCTTCTATTCTGAGTCATCTTGAGAAACTGTTAAACTGCTCCAGGTTCTCTGTACATTAAGTATTTTTCCAGGAAAAGTAAACATTCGTGTTTAACCTGTTTCCTATACAAGAGGGAAATAACTTTAAAAATTTTTTTTTTAGAGCAGGAATTTATTCTTTGTGCCAGTACTTCTTAGCTTACCAAGTTGTTGTCTTTATGTATATTTCAAATAGTCTTTGCATGTGAAAGTTTTTTCTTATTTGCTGTCTGTGTCGTTTTGCATCTTCAGCATATAGCTTATACTAAAAATGTCTTCCAAATGTTGCTTGTCAAAAAAACTGATTTTGGCTTTATTTAAAAAAAAGTCTTACGATGTTTTTTGACCTTTTTCAAGATCTATTAAACCTTAGTAGATATATGGATTGCCTCCTGGGTGTTTTTTTTAATTTTCTTCCCCCCTTTTTTCTTTTTTCTTCCACCTTCATCTGAAAAGGGGAAAGTATCATTGGAGAAACTCCCTTTCCTACTGGGGTAGAATTTCTCTGTTTCATTTCATTTTTTTGGATGGCTTACCCAAAAAAATTGAATTTGAGTTGCAGCTAACTTTCATTGCTGAAAAATAGAGATTCAGTTTAATAATTTGCAACAGTCTGTAAAATTGCATATAGCTTTGGTCAGAGAAAGAACTGTTTAGATAGTCTTAAATGTTGGGTTTCTCAATTTGAAACTTGTTTCAAAATGTTAGAATTCTTAATTGCAAACTTAAACTTTCCCCAATATGAAATTAATTTTTGGCTCCTAGGTCATGTTAAAAAAAAAAAAAAATTAAAAAAAAATTATGTGGGCTGAAAATCTCAGGGGTTGCTGGGTTGTTTGGGTTTTTTTGTTTGTTTTTTGTTTGGTGTGTTGTTTTCTTTTTTTGTATTTTGGGTGGGTTTTTTTTTTCCCAGTAGTGGAAGAAAAATGGATCACTTGTTTAATCTGCATACCCGTGGTCAATGCTAACTTTTGGAAGGAGGCAGAAAAGCGGGTTTTCAGTAAGACACTGATGACCTCTGCGAGCCCAGTGCCTCTCTTAACAATGTGTTACCTGAAAACCTCAGCAGGGCCTTAAAAACCCAATGTGTTTTCAGTAAAAGAAGCAATAATGCAATAAGCCACTCTGAAGTAGGCATGTTTAGTTTCAAAGAATTTAAGTACAAAACGTAGATCAATTGTGTATGTTATCTCCGGCCACCTTCCCCAAGTTTCACTGCAAGTGGCACTGAAGCAACAATTCCCTTTAATGTATAAAGACCAAGTTTTATTCCATGTCACAGTGAGAACTGTTACATAGCCAAAATATTTTGTGGTGATTGCCTGCATTTCCTCAGAAGGTAATCAAACAATTAACTTCAGCAAAATTGGAGCATTTTGACATTGAAAGCTTTGAACTTGGAGCAAGTAAATTAGTGTAACTTGAAGCTTAGTGCTTGCAGTATATTCTGGCCTTTACTTTGACAGCATCAAAGAATTTTATGCCCAGTAAAATAAAGTATTTTAAAAGATCTGATTTTGTTTCCTGCTACGCATTTTCACATAAATTGTTAAAATGGAGAATGTAATGCCATTACCATTGTATGTTTGGTTTAGTATTCTGGAATAATCTGAATTCTGTTTAGTATTTTTTTCACACTGAGAACTTGAAAAAACTTTGAAGTATAATGTGTAAAGATTGGCTGTCTTTTCCTCGCTCCAGTGAAGATGCTTTTTATCCAGTGAAATGTGAAGATTACTTTAAAAACTTCATATGTACTAGTTTACCGCATAAATTTATGGTAAGAAAAACGGTTGATCTTTTTTGAATATTTTTATTTTATTTATTTATTCATAGTCTGCCTGATGTGTGGGTAAATGAAAGTGAGCGACATCAGTTAAAAACTAAAGTAGTTCATTTATCAAAACTACCAAAAGATACTGCCTTGCTTCTGGACCCAAACATATACAGGTAATGTCCTAATTTTGAAACGTACTTTACTTAAATATAGTCTTAAGCCTCACTTAACTTTTAGACGTTGGAAAATCAGGATTGCTAATGCATTATACACCAGACCAGGGAGCCTCGATCCTGTCAGCGTCCAGGAGTTAAGTTCTGAGGTCTTAAGTTGTTTCAGAATTACTTAACTTCTTGAACTGAACTCTAGTTACTGAGAAACGGGGAATGTGTGTATTTACCAAGTGTATTTTACTTTTTTGTGCTTGGTGTACAGAAATTCTAGTAAAGGAGGTACATACAGTGGAATCCTGAAAGATCACTTCTGTTAAGATCACATACTGGTTTGTATACCAATTTTTTTAAAGTCCAAATTTATCTTTACATATTTTATATTCAACTGTAATACACGCAGTATTACCTTGAAATCTGTACTTGTATACAAGTACTGTTATTTTTTAATACAAGATTCTTTAGAGGGGGACAGAAGGGGACAGTACATGTCTTTAAGCTGCATTCACATTCGTGTTTTTAGGACTTCAGATTGGCTTCTAATCCATCTTGTTTCTAATAATTTCCTGATTTCCCCCCCCCCTCTTTATTAGTGTGCTCACATAATTGTCAGTACCCACAGTTCTGTGTGTGTACAGTTTTAAAGGTAATCTGAAATATTTAATTCACTCTTAAGTTTGAACATGTAAAGTTACATATTTATGGGCTTATATTAAAAATTCATGAAAATGGGTCAGAAAGAAAAAAAAAGGTTTTCTGCCATAACCAAAGTTCAGTGTTCCTATGTTTCTTCCTTAACATCCAGTGACCTAGTGTCTAAAGGAGTAACTAAAACACTAATCTGAGGTCTTGATATGCGATAAGCCTTTCAGTTCACCTTTAATATTCAGTGTATTTCACTAATCAAATTAATGAAAACTTGGTTTACAATATGAAAATAAATCATCATGCTATATCTATCTTTGTAAATGTAAGTATTTAAAATACTTACTTTAGTATATGAATTACTGATGTTAACAGTAAATCAAAAAATGTTACAAGGAAATTGGATTGTGTGTTTTAAAACTGCTTAACACAGTGACTGTTTTATAATCTAATTTAGGTGTTAATCATCTTTATATTGATTATCTTTACAGAACTTGATAGATTAGTTTGATTTGAAAAGGAAAAAATAACCTTTTAAAATAAAAATGTAATGATCTTTGGGATTAAGTCCTTGGGGAAAAATGAGCAACCCTTTCTACCTCTCCCAAATAAAATTAAGGTCCCCTCACATAATGTTGTACTAGATTTTTAGCAGTATAGTTCAGTGTGTGATTAAAAAGAGCTTTGGGACCAAATGTGGGAGACAAAGAAATAAAGTTGAAGACCAAAACTTTACAGGGGGAAAAAGTGGTTAAGGGAATTCAGTGACAGCTATTAATGTCATGCTAAAATGATGACTCCAATAGAAAGTTTGAAATAATTATCTGAAATGTATGCTGATATGGGATCACCTAAAATGGCTTTCAGTTTTAATCAAATTAAATGAAAGTAGATTTTATGTAGTCATGATTTCATAGTATACTCTAGCTGACTCGAATTTACGTCTCAGGGTCTTTATGTAAAACTGTACTATCTTCTTTTACAGAACAATGCCCCAGAAGAGGTTGAAGAGGTAAAAACCAAGCAAGTGGGGACACCTGCAGTCTTAGTCACTGACAATGGATTTAGAAACAAAGTTGCACATTAGTCAAATCCCATCCTTTTTTTTTTTTTTCCTTAGATAAATATTTATGCTTAGTGTAAACATTCTGTGAATGAAGTTGATGCTTCCGTGGAATATATTAATATATTACTGTATATCCACATTTTCATGGAATGGTACAGTGGGAGACTGAGCAAACACTCTTCTGGCAACTTAGTGGAACAACTAAAAGGCTTTGCATGCTTGCTTCTTTAAGCTGCTTTTTTCTTTAGTGAATACAGTAGTTTATATTTGATGAAAAGAAAGAGTAACCATCACCATTTACTCACAATTCCCAGGAGAACTGTTAACAAGCTATTAAGGCTTCTTGTCAATGTTAACTGAAGATAACACATGCCAGACAATAAAACAGCTACCAAGGGATTATCCTGTTGCCCTTTGAGTATGGTGGATAGTAATCATTCGTCATTTGTAATCTCGTGTCCTTTTGCAGATCCCTAAAATATGTTGGATTATAATGTTTAAACAAATGTTGATGGAATGCTTGTCTTTTCCAATCAACTATGAATACATATAGTACAGTTTAAAGATGTTGAGAGTGTTGCAGTATGTCTGACCCCCTTTTCAGGAGTAGTATAGTATGTTAATGAGATCTGCTTTTATGTGATCCGTATAAATGGATGGTTTTTGAAAAACCTCTACTTAAGCAGTTAGTGTTATTGGTGGTTTATTTTACTTTTTTGACCCTTTAGGATCGCCATTCACTTGTAAAGTATACTTTTTTATTTGGCCTAATGTTTTCTAGATGTAAAGAAAATGGTATTTTTTAAAAAAAAAATCTAGAAAATCAATCCTTTATGCACCAAAGTTGGCTTTGAAAAGGAAAGTAAAATCATTTTCTTGCTTAATAAGCAAGAAGCCATGGATTTTTTTAACTGACAAATAGAGATGTGTCTAACCTGTTAGTCTTTGTATGGAGACAAAAATGTTGCATATAGATAATAGGACATTGCTTGTAAATACTTCAGCAGATTTGTAATATATTTTTATATTATGAAATGTACTGTAGATGTTTTTCTAGAGGCATGAAAGTTAAAATGTATATATTACGGTAGAAATAATATTGAAGGATATTGTAATTCACTAGTGCTGCCAGAAGAATTGTTTAAAAAAAGCACCTTCCTTAACAATAAAAAAACCCTTCTTTTACATACCTAAGGGACTATATACTACTGTTAATATCTGTTGTAAGAACAAAAATACATTGAACATCCTTCCCAGAAATCTTAGAGGGATGAATAGTACCCATAATTAATTCATGGCGCTCCTTTCTAATAGTGAACGTGAAATTAGTTTTTTCCTTACTATTGGAAGGAACTAATATGTAAAATTTGTATGGATATATGCAGTCAAACTGCAGAGTTAGTCCTCCTTATTGGGGAGGAATTTACTACAGTGAAACTAATAACCAGCAGTTTTTACACTAAATTTTTATTAAATAGAATAAAACTTAAAGTAACCCTTTGGTTGCAGAAGTGAGTATATCCTAATATAATACAAATGCATTCTGCATTGGTACTGACATGAGAGTCTTGCTTAGCTCCAATGGGTTAAAAATGTTACTTATATACACAAAAAAAAAATCTTATCAAACAAAATGAAGTGCAGATTAAAAGCACCACTAATATAAGATGTTCTGGAATGGTTGTTTAATAAGGGTATTATTCATAAAATCTGTAGTGATGTGAGTTTATTTTTGAAAAAATGCAGTGTTTTGGGTTTTTTTTTTTGCTTGAGCACTTCACCTACTGCTTTTTCTGTACCTATAAAGTAATCCGTAATCTTTGTTTCTTTTTTTGAATTTGTTATAAAATTGCCAAATAGAAGTGTTTCAGATATAGTTTGTATTTGTATTTTTTTAATTTTATTGCTTCATGAGTTTCTTGTAAGTCATTTATAATTGACAGATGATTGTAGACCTTGCCTGAGTATTTTTTCTAATAAAACAAAGCAAACAAACCTGATTAGCTTCAAAATTACAAGTTTTCAATGAAGTTTTCAAAGATAAATATAAAAATGTCACTATCTCTTTATTTCCCCTGTAAGTAGTAACATGCATACCTTTACACAATTGGGAATTCATGGATTCAAGTCATGTATTGTTCATGTAAACTGTGACTTTCTTTTCTTGGGTTTGAGAAAAGTATCATCTGATGTTCTCATGATACAACTTCTGCCTTGGAAGGAAAAATCAGTTAAAATTCAAAATGTCTGTGAACAAATGGATACATTGGAATTAATTAAACTTTCCATAGTAGTCAAAAGGTAAGTGGATTTTTGGCGTTTTTTTCCCTTGAAGTTATCAAAGTGAATTGCTAAAAGTATTTATGCTTGAAAGTTGTTTTTATTCTACAAGTTATGTAATATCTTGGTGGCGGTTTATGTTTCAAATGACAGTCATGTCTCTCTAAAGCTCTGCTTCCGTTTTTGTGTGTCCCCCCGGATGAATTTCAGAGTACCAGATAAATGGAACTGGCACTTCATGCTGGGAGGCATTGATCGCTTTGTTACGAAAAAAATCTTACTGCTCTTATTGTTATTCTTGAAAAGTGTTAATGAAATAATGGGCCCCTCCCCTTTGGAGTAGTTCCATGTGTTTTCTTTTGGGATGTAACACACAGAGGTTTCCTCCTGTCTTTCTCAAGAACATTTTTTTTTAAATAGATTTTTCCAAATACCTACAGAATGCATTCCCTCCCACCTGGAGTGTTTATTTTCTTTGTGGAGAAATGTCACCAAGACAAACCTGTAGTTATTTTACCCTTTGTTGCAGTCTGTTTCCAGACTGCTTTAATGAGTAACTATATAAATATCCTAAATTTATACTTTTTTGATTAGAGGTTCTGTATTATCTTTAACACATTACAGAAGGTGAGCAAAAGAAAATGACTAATTTTACAGTTAAATCATGGCAAAATACACTGGAGTGTGTACTCCAGGAGGGGAGGCTGAGGGAGCTGGACAGGTTCGGCCTGGAAAAGAGAAGACTTTGGGGGAACCTAACAGCAGCCTTCCAGTACCTAAGAAGTTCCCAAGAAGGTGGAGCCAAGCTCACTTAAAACTGCACAGCAGGAGGATGAGAGTCAGTGGTCATAAATTGAAATGGGAGATTTTGTTTTTTCACTGTGAGGATAGTCAAGCGTTGGAACAGATTACTCCCAGAGATCCCAGAAATCTCTGTCTTTGATGGTTTTCAAGATCCAGACAAAGCCCTGAGCAACCTGTTCTGGATTCAGTGTTGTTAATGTTGCACTGAGCAGGAGATTAGGCCAGATGCTCCCTTGGAGGTCCCTCCCAACATGAATTATTCTGTGTTTCTGTGATTTGGAACTAAGTAGGCTTTCTCTTCCAGCCCACGTGCTCAGGAAGACATCAGCTATGTTTAGCTCATGTTAGCAAGGTGTTCATATGTTCATAGATCGTGGTTAGAGTTGGAGCTGTTTGAATTGAAAGCCGATCAGCTGTGGCAGTAAGGTGGAGCTGGGGCTTTAGTCTGTTTGTCTTGGCCAACTGTATGCTTGAACTACACTGGCATGATCGTCTTAAGGTAGATGCTTGCATCAGCTTGAGGATGTGGGTCAGAAAAGGGCATGGGATAGAATGTTTACTCCCCCACTGTCGGGTGACACCAGCAAGGGTTTTCAGAAATCTCAAATGTGTTTGTGGGTGTCTTGGGTTATCTTACTTCTGGGACACCTTTGAAGAGGAAGTGCTGAATCAAGCTCTTCGAAAGTTACACTTTTCAGGAGCTGCAATGCACCCAAATATCTGTGCCCAGAATCACCAGTCCTTTTGGAATGTGTTAGCTTGAATTTTACAGTTTTCTAAAACTGAATAACAGGATTTTTGAGTGAGGAGTGTTGTTTGGGGAATGAAGATGATCTCTGCCTTTTGCTTAAGTGGATGGAAATTCTTCTCTGGGAAGACTTCCTAGCATTTGGGCATAGCATCGCATACAGCTGATTGATTGTTTGATACTAGATATCATTCTATCTACTAAAGCACTTTAATAGATGGAGCAGTAACACATCAGTTCTTTTCTAATACTTACATTGCATATAAGTTTCTCTGCAGTTACTGTGACTTTTCAGGTTTTGGCCAAATTGCATAATATGCAACACTGTATATTTTTTTTTTTTTTTTTTTTTTTTTTTTTTTTTTTTTTTTTTTTTTTTTTTTTTTTTTTTTTTTTTTTTTTTTTTTTTTTTTTTTTTTTTTTTTTTTTTTTTTTTTTTTTTTTTTTTTTTTTTTTTTTTTTTTTTTTTTTTTTTTTTTTTTTTTTTTTTTTTTTTTTTTTTTTTTTTTTTTTTTTTTTTTTTTTTTTTTTTTTTTTTTTTTTTTTTTTTTTTTTTTTTTTTTTTTTTTTTTTTTTTTTTTTTTTTTTTTTTTTTTTTTTTTTTTTTTTTTTTTTTTTTTTTTTTTTTTTTTTTTTTTTTTTTTTTTTTTTTTTTTTTTTTTTTTTTTTTTTTTTTTTTTTTTTTTTTTTTTTTTTTTTTTTTTTTTTTTTTTTTTTTTTTTTTTTTTTTTTTTTTTTTTTTTTTTTTTTTTTTTTTTTTTTTTTTTTTTTTTTTTTTTTTTTTTTTTTTTTTTTTTTTTTTTTTTTTTTTTTTTTTTTTTTTTTTTTTTTTTTTTTTTTTTTTTTTTTTTTTTTTTTTTTTTTTTACTTCTATATTCTGTTAAGTAATTATATCAGTAGTTTCCGATTTAAATTACATATTAAATCTGGACTAGCTTCATTTGGGAACAAATAGGTTAATTATGTTTAAATCTGCATTGTTTTTAATAGTAGGAATTTAAGTGATTGATTTCTGTTCCTTTCAGCTTTTCTGTGCAGCATGTGAATTGATCATCATAGAAAACCAGTCTGATTTAATACTTCAGTCTGAAATTGATGATATATCCTCACTTAATGCTTTCTTGCCTTTACATTTTAAACTTGCATATGAACCTATCATAAGTATTTCTCTTGTCACATTAATGTATGACAAGTACAACAGGAAAAAAATCGTCTCATCGGGAAAGTTGGCTTTTAAAAAGCAGCTGAATCTATGGTTTCTTTCAGTCATTTTCTATAAGTTGTTAAGTAGACATTCTGTGAATGGCTCCTATATGCATACGGCTCTGAAAGTAAAGTAAACAGTTTGATCCCTAAAACAAGATATTCTAAACAAAACATTCCAGCAACAGAAGATGGTCTTAACATCACATGGATTTTCTTAGTCAAGTAAAGATGCCCTTAGATCTGTTAGTTATCGTGGTGTTTATTCCAAGCAAAGAATACTCTTTGGTAAACTATGTTGCTTCAACTTTTAATAAAAATTTCTGAATTACGTATCTTTGTTGGAATGGATGGGGGGGGGGGGGGGAGAAAACCCCACCTACACTACTGTTTTGAGCAATACAATGGAAAAAATATTTTCGAATCAAGAATATCCGTTTGTTCATGCCTTTTCAATAACACCCCTTTTTTCTAAAATCCTTTGTGCTTGCAATTATATAAACCAAATTGAGACTAAAAGAATGAATACTCATATTAATACAACTGTAGTCTCCTAGTGCTTATAATGAGAAGAATCAGGTATAAATACTCGAGGTGAATCTCTCAAAGTATATTTACGAGAAGAGTTATTACAGTGCTGAAGGGCTTCATTATTGTAATCTCTTATTATAATATTTTTTTCTAACGTAGGATGAACTAAAATCTGACTAACAATAAAACCTCGTCCTCCTGGAAGATTAGGATTTTTTCAACCCTCTATTCTATTATGTTTCCCTGAAGATAGTTGATAAACTAGAAAAAACAAATAGATTCAGGTATGCTGTCAAATCTCAGGTTGTCTCCCGGAGGGGGGGGAAAAAAAACAGAGATTAATGTTTTGTGTTTAAAGCAGAACATTGGTTCCAGGAGACAGGAGCTGTGAATTTACTCTTTCCAGGTAAGAAGCTGTGGTGATGAGCATACACCAATGTTGCAACCTGTATTTTTGGATTTTGACTGGAAATGGCAATACTGAGAATTTGCTTTCTTACTGTATTACAGCAGCTGTCCTTGCAGTGAAAAATTCTCCCCAGACTATATGTCCAAGTGTCTTTAAAATTTATACTACAGTACAGTAACAGTAGTCTACAGAGTATGTATGTTTGGGTTTTGATGTAGTTTTATCAAAATTCTCTGTAATCACTGCTGTGTATTTTTCTTCATTTTAATGAAATGTATAGTTGGAATACTGTTGTCTGCTGTCTGCCTCTTAATGCTTTGCAATCCCTAAAATCTAACCAACTTGCTTATGTTTTCTGTCCAGTACTTTCCATGCTAATCCACTTACACTGTATTATAGCACACAGTGGTACAAGTACAGAGGTGGACCAAAGTAAAGTTCCACATGTACCCATAATTATTGCGTGCCCTCATTTTTGAAAACTTGTCTTGCAGCCTCATCTTAAAGTACTTTTATCTGTAATTTCTTAAATGATTTAAAAATATATACCAATTCCAGTATATAGCATCTTACCATCATTTTCAGAGGTGATAGCAGAATTGGGAGTTACTTGTTGATATCCCCAAGGCTCACTGTGCTGAGCTGTCTTGTTGGAGCTAATAGAGTAACTCGGACCAGTAGTGGATATCGTCTTTCATGCAGACTTGGAACAAGAGGGGAAGAAGGAGATGGTACTTGTGAGTTTCGTAGCTGTTGAAGATTGAGAGTAATACTGTGCTCAGTTCTAGGCTGGAAGGAACTGTGATCTAGATATCTCTTCTAAGGTTCTGTGCTTATTTTTTTTTCTTTTCTGTTGTCCAATATTTTAAGGCAAAAAGAAAAGCAATGTTCTGGTCTAGCCTGTCTTTCTGGTCCAGTGCTATTTTATTGTCAGCTGTACATCAAGTTTCTCATATTTATTTCCCCTTCTCTCCCACATACATACTTGCACTTCCATCTCTAATTCTTTTCTAGAGAAGAGTT